TCTTAAAACAACAATAATACACATTTCTGGGAACCCAGAGGGTTACATTAAAAAGACAGAAACCCCCGAGGTGGCACATGGTTCCTGTCGAGTAAGGAAAGGGAGTTGTGGATTAACAAAAGATGAGAAGTAGTCTGAAGTAAACACTAGGTTTAATTAACATTTGTGTTTGATTCAAAGATGATGGAGGCTAGAACCAGTGATCTGATAAATTCTGACTCCTGAAGTAAATGATTTTATCAAATACATGTGAAGATTTCACTGAAGAGGCCGCAATGTCTCTGCTTAGCTAACCATAACTTAATACCGGGATCAGTCACATGTGATACATTTTCAAATATCATAGCTTCAATAAACATGAAAGTCAACATCAGGTTTAATGATGAGTGTTTAAAATCTATGTGAATATTGCTGAACCCTTGAGCTGTTTTGGGTTGCAGGGTAAAGCCCACAAAGGATAAAGGAATTTGAAGGGATTCAAAAAAGATTTATTTATCAGCTTTAGAAGATTAATTTCTTGTAATTGCTTCTTAACTCTGGGCTGAAAACATTGTAAAAAGCATGCAGGGAAACGGAAAGAAAAGTAAGAAATGCAGAAAAGTGGGATTTTATTTTGGGTGGTGTTTGCTGCAAGCTATACAATAGCTCATTATTTCATAGGTAGATAGTATACTGTAGATATACTGTATTTTAGTCTGCAAAGCAGCCTATTTTATTGAGAACATAGGCACACACAATTTTACATATGAGGAACGATGACAATTGAAAGTCAGACATTCCATTTTGTAGTGGTAGACATGGGATTTTTCTTTGGTTCAACCTCCTGATTATTTTTTTTTGTGGAACTATCTTCCTGTAGATGCCCCTTCTATATGCCTTTTTAATCTTCGGGTATAGATTTTGTTTTGGAAAATATAGGAAAAAAAAGAAATGATTCACAGTATGATTAGAAGAAACTGAGTTACAAAAAACTATATACATACCTTGATCTAGTTAGTGCAAACCTAACAAAAGTAAACCTACAGAGAGGAATCCATTGAGGCTGTTTGAAGTTTTGTTGTGCTGCTAGCAGGGTGGCGTCTGCTGGGAGAATGAGGAGGAGGAGCACATGTAAGCTTTCAGTGATTGGCCAATAAAAATTGACCCGCATCGATTTAGCAATGTGTAGGGAGAGACTCAATCATTACATCAGCACTTTTTAAACGGCTCATTTCTGGCTTATTATCGGCGTATAGTGAGCTGAGGATGGCTGTGTCCTCCCCTGTTAAAGGGCTGAATAGTTCTCATGAAGCTTATCAAGTTTTCTGTCATGTGAGAAGTAAGAAGACACTTTGATGCATTATGATCCTACAGGGTCTTAAGAGAGACTTGAAACAAGGTGTATTTAAAATCCCTCTGCGATCACTACTTCCAAAGAATAGGTCTGAAAAGACCCATTACCAAGAAAATACCTCTGGTTACCTTTAGATTTTTCCCCAGGCAGCAGATTGCGGGATCAGTGTTGAGCTAGAGGTTTTGGCTCCTGGAGGATTTTGGTAAAGTCGGTGGACAGATTTCTAAATAATTAAAGAAAAAGCCAAAGCTGAGATCCCATTGGATCTTAGCAAGGTTTAAGAGGACTGTTTTAATTCAACGCCGTGTGAAAGGTTTAATTTGCCATCTAACCGTAACCCTACTCTGAGGTCCCTATGTTTTAAATGAATCTTTTTTGTTGTTATGCCAAATTAAATTTGGAGTTTAACTTCAAAACCTCCCCTTGCACTTACTTGACTCTGCAGCTTGCATTTTAGCTGGGGCTGTTTTCCTCCGTGACAAAGAACAAACTGGAAGTGACCGGTCTGCTGAGGTCATTGGTCAAGTGCAGCCAGTGCATTATAATTAGACCGCCAGTGTCACACAGACATGTATTTAAAGCAGCCACATCAGCTTAGAGGTTTTAAATCATGCATAGATATATTGACACGAGGAATTCATTGTAATGCTGGAGATAGTGTCTCAGAAGCTCACATTCACTCGTTTTGGTGGTTTTGAAGCACTAGAGACTGTGTGCAGCCACACACCAAAAAAACCTTGAGAAACCTCCAGCAGTGAGTCAGCCTGCTTCATTTTCTCTTTTCCCTCTGCCCGGGGGCAGGGATGGTGTCTGGTGGGGATGGATCTCCTTCAGGCTGCGGACTTTGATTAACTGGAAGATTGAAGAAAAGAAATGTGACCTCTTTTTTCTGTGTTTGGCATCCAGAATATCAAACTCATGGATAGATGAATTAGGTTAATAAATTAGTTGAAAATGCCTGAAGCTATTGTCTAAAGTTGGAGTAACAGAGAAATTAGCAGTCTAAGAAAATGACTTTTAAAACACCATTAGGGACTATTAAAACTCAAGGTTCTTTTTAAACTGTTTTAACTGGCATCAGTTTGCGGGCATGCATTTTCCAAATGATGTGACCAGCTATACAATACAAGCTCACATTAAAAGACAGTAACAAATGATATAAAACAAGTTCATTGTGACCTAAACTTTGTGTCTGTGTTGTGACAAAGAGAAGCAGTGGTCACTCAGCAGTGCTATGTGGGTCATGATGGGTTGAAATGTAATTATTACCAAACTGCTGTTTACAGGCTGACTTTAATGGCTGACTTTAATGATCTGACATCCAGACTCGCATAACTGTTTGATTGATTTTTACACCCATTTAAACTTTATATTAATACAATAACTGTTGCGAAGCAGAATTACTGCCCCATATCCTTAAAGGAAATAAAAAGACTTGAGTGGTCTTAATTCCTTTTTATTAGAGCCTCAGTATTTGTTAAAGATTGACAGTTTTATCGGTGCCATATTAAATTTCATTTGTGTAATATCTGATAGATAACAATGTGTTCTTTCCTTTTCCATGGAAGTGTAGAGACATATTAGTCACCTTCTTTGGCTGTTTCCATTCTCATCAAGATGGGATTTTCTGCTAAACTTAGATGTTACTACACATCTGTCAAGACTGAATTAACAAAAGAAAATGATTCAATGTAAATTGCTCATAGAGTCATTGTCCACACAACATTTAAAACTATTAACTTTTCTAAGCCTTTCACCTTTGAGGAGGAACTTTGAGGACAGGAAATCTGAATGCACCATGCATAGTCACTCCAGTGAGGATGCAGTTTCCAGGATCAGTGGCTATAGGGTCAGCAGTGTCTGTAGGACAAAAGGGCCGGAGTTGGAGGAAGGTGAAAGCCAGGGGTGGGAGGAATACGCATGAGAGAAACTTTAGATTAGCTTCAGTAAGTTGTGGTAAACCACTCAGCTTCTCAAAAAAGTGAGGCAGACTTTGTCCTAGGTTGTGCTCAGCCTGGGTTTGAAAATCTCAGGACACTGCCAAGCAAGGGCATCGAGGATCTCATTAATCTGACCAGCATGTCCTCTCCATTCAAGAGGGATAGTCTGAGAACGCTTTGAAAACTTGTCCATCTCTTTGATTTTTGCCCTGAGATGATGACATCATAACCCTATAGGTTTGAACCTGAAGTGAGCAGATTGTGGATGGAACTTCAGTGGGACTAAGGGGACTAAAAAGTGTCAAAATACAGTTACAGGAAAAGGTGTGTGTGTGTGTGTAAAACTGCAACTGCAACTCCAATACAGGTAATTTAAGTCTGCTTCCATTGGCGAGTCAATCCCAAAAAGCCCAAGTTTAAAGTACATAAACATATTTTACAGCTTGACACAACAGTTTTTGTCTCACTTTTTAATTTATACAGATATCTAGTTAAACGTACAGAACACATTCTTTGTACGCTTACCTGCCTCAGTTGCATTAGACTTGCGGTAAGGTCTTCAGGCTCACATTTAGACCTAACAAATGCCACGTTTCTGTGTAGCAGATATCTTCACACTGAACCAGAGTCTGTTCTGTGATGCCAGTTTGCTTTGTCACATTCGTATGCCTGTTTTTACTAATGACGCCAAACTGTCTTTATTCTTTTTTTAGGGCATATGTGTTGTGAACAACTTCAAAGGTGCTCACTGTGTGGCAGCCAAACAGAAAACTGAGGACTACCGTGGACTTCCTCTGATGACTTTTCCCCGTGTAGAGAGCCCGTTGGAGACCCTCAGCGCACAGGTAGCTAAAAATACTTAACGAGGAACCCCGAGAACTTTAATCTTTTTTTATACCTATTATATCTCTGATGGAATTGGCTGAATGTCTTCAAGCCTCAAATCACATCTTTCCATTGAAAATGTATGATTTGGAGCTTTGTTTGATCTTTTTCTTTTCCAATGTCCTGAGATTTTTATGTAAGGATAGGATTTCACTGTCACCTCTTTCTTTCTTTCTTTCTTTCTTTCTTTCTTTCTTTCTTTCTTTCTTTCTTTC